GGGCACTTTCCCTGTGTGTGTAATCTGGTTTGGTGCTTTATTTTTTATTTTGCCACTTGAAATGCTTCATTGCCTTCTTGCTTGCATGTTTAGAAGCTGACTATAGTTCTTGTCATTTTCCTCCACAGCTAAGGAATGTTCTTTTCTGGCTTCTCTCTGGACTTTTCTGTCAGTGGCCCTCTGCAGGTGAACATGCTGGGCTAGGTGTGGACTTGCTCCTGTTTATCCTGCACAGTGCTCTCTGAGCTTCCTGGATCTGTGGTTTGGTGGCTCATTAATTTTAGAAAATTCCCAGCCATTGCTGCGTGAAATACTTCTGCTGTGCTTTCTGTCTGGTTCTTCAGTTGTGCTGTTTGTCCTTTGGAAGTCTCCCCCACAGTGGTGGGTGTTCAGCTGCTCCTGAAGGGTGCCTGGGGGCAGAGACTGTCATGAAARCACTGGCACGGGCACTTTTCCTTTGGTCTTGGCAGAAGTGCCTCCCCAGCCCGTGCAAAGTGTGTGTGTGTGTGTGTTTGTTTGTGTGTGTTTGTGTGTGCGCGCGCGCGCGCACACTGGTACATGGTTCCGTTTGCTGCTATACATCCAGGGTGCAGGTGATGGCTGCTGTGCTTGCCTTGTTGCCCCTGAGCTTCTCATCCCCTCTCCCTGCAGGTCTTGGAGATGACCTAAGCGTGCCTGGGTGGCATGGCTCGGGCTGGCAGCCTGCGGCTCGAGCCACTCCACAGGTGCCGGGAGCGAATGTGCCCATGCTGCCTCAGTGGGACATTGTGGTCACTATTCAGATCCTCACATTTTGGTCTAGGGTGTGAAGCAAATGCAGGATGGTGTAACTTCAGTTGCGGATTTCAAGAAATTGCACATTTCCCCCTCACGTGTAGGGGTGGATGGGGGGCATGACGGGAGGGCTGTGGGGCACTATCTTGACACAGTTTTGAAGAACAGTGTCCTCTTCTGTGTGCTGGATCAAGGTGGGTCTCCTGGCTCCTGTTCATTTCCAGCGTGCTGTCCTTTGGGCGAGCATTGCAAGGTTTCAYGGTGTGTGTGGTTTTGGCTGGGCCCCAGGTGTCTTTTGCCTCAGGTGGTTGGGCTTATAGGACCTCCCCTTCTTATTGGTGGGCTTGAACACCCCCTTTGTAAAACAAGATTTACACGCAGTAGTGACTATGAAACAGCTCCACAGGAATGGAGTTTGACCAGTAGCCTGGTTGGTGAGGACCCCAGTGACTGCCTTTCCCTCCTGTGCCCAGGGACCTTCTTCTTCCGTCTTAACATCTGCGCTTGAGGCGAGGAGTGCTGGTCCTTGGGAGCGGTGCAGTGTTCGCTGGTTTGTGTGTTCATGGTCAGGGTGTGTGACCTGTGAGCTAAGGACATCAGTCTCACCTCTTAGAGGTTTCCTACTGAAGTAGAATTATTTTTTGAAGATCTTTTTTTTTTCTTTCCCTTAAAGAATAGCATTATAGAAAAATTCACCCCTCTCCCCAAATCTCACCACCCAGAAAGCATCACCATCTGTGTGTGACAGCGGTCAGTGCAGAGGGCGGGTTGCCGGATTTCCCGATGGCGTTGAAGGTTGGAGACAGTCCTGTTGGAAGAGGTGCTCAGTTGGAACTGAAGGCACTTCTGAATCTGAGAAAATTGTTCATAGGAGCAAGMGATGTGATATCCTTGCGGGTTTTCTAAGGATGAGAACACATCTAGAGCTGCGAACTAGTGTAGACCATGAGCATGAACACCCTGCCTGTTKTGAAAGACAGCTGCTGTCAGGCAGCCTCCCCTTCCTGATGTGATGGCTGTTACTTGCTTCGGTCAGGCTGTGGCAGCTGGCTCTGCGGGCTCCTCACCCGCCCTGTGGCTGGCCTCAGCTGTGTCTGTGGCACAGTGCTGGAGACACGGCTGCTGAGTTCTGCAGCACTCGCCCCAYCCTCTACCTGGGTTGCTTTGCCGCCTGTCTCTTCGTTGGTTCTTTTGGATGCCCCTTCTCTGCAGGCCTGTGGGTTCCTTTCCTTCTAGGGAATGTGTGTGCTCTGTCTTGACTTTGTCTCCCATGGTTTGTGCTGCCCTGCATCCTGAGTATCATCATGGGCCCTTCTCYGCAGACTCCCTGCCCACTTGGCTGCCCTTCCTGGCAAGGTGTGAGGCTGTACCAGTCTTGCTTGTGCAGTTACTTGGCTTGCCCATGCCCTCACCATCTTTGCCCCAGCCCCAGAACTGGGTGGTGGTTGAAGAAGTTGTTATTGTTTTATTGACTCTTAGAATTATCCCTACTGTGTACTGTGGGGKATGAGGCTGGGAGGGAATGTCCAGTTACTTTTGCCAGTTCCTGAGCCCCTGACCCCCCTAGCAAAGGCAGGGGAGGAATAGGAGGTGGCTTACCCACGCCTGCTCGACGGGTGTTTAGGATTGGCTGGATGGAAGTCTTGGTGACTGGTGGAGGAGATGGCCTCTGCTGGACCCAAGAGCAGCACAGGCCCCCTGCGACTCTGAGGAGAGAACATGGAGAGAGTGGAGAGCTGGCCCCAGAAYTAGGAGGGAATGGAGAGGGTCAGGAGCTAAGGCCTGGTGCAGGCTGGGGGAGCTTTGTCTTTTGCCAAGGTGGGGTGGGAGGCAGTGGAGGGTTGGCGGGCTTGTGCCTGCCAAAAATTACCCTGGCTGCAGTGTGGGGCATAGACTGGAAGGGGCAAGGCAAGAGCAGGGAGACCCCTTCTGAGGAAGAAAGCCAGGGCCGCAGACCCACCTGGCAGGCGTGGGCAGTCCTTCCTTCCCCTGCAGGGCCTTAGTCCTCTGCYCCGGAGTCTCCAGGCTCCTGGCCTGTACTCCCAGCCCCACCAGGGCTGGTGTGGGTCATTGGCCCCTGGGACAGCAGCTCTGGAGAAGACTGCTATGGAAGTAATACCTCCAGTCGCTCCCGCTGTGGCATCTCAGGTTTCAAAAGACCAGTGCACATATTTTGCCCTTCACCTTGGAGCCCTGTTGCTGGCTGCCCTTGAAGAACTCACCTGGGTGGGCTCTCTGTTGGTGGCAGTCCCTGGGAAGGCACTACTGGGCTTTCCCCGTGGCCAGATCAGGACCTGGTATAGGGGTTGATATTTGTTTCAAAAAGTGAGTCCTGCCTTTAATTGCTGAGGGCTTTGAAGGAGTGAGCATTTGGTTGATGTGGAGGCCAGGTGCAGAGGTCCAGGCAGGGGCTGCAGCATGGCTTCTGGTTGATAGGACTCTGCCTGGGCTCAGAGGAGCATGAGGCCTAAGGGCCAGACCTGCCAAGAAGTCTTCCACCATTGTCCACACTCTGCATGTCCACTAGGTCTGTGAACATTTGGGTTGTGTCCACCTTCTGACCATTGGATTGTGCTGCTGACAACATGCATGTGTAGGTTTCTGTGTGGACTGTTTCCACTTGTCAAGTGCACACCTGGGTGGACTTGCTGGCCAGATAGTACTCTGGGTTTAGCATTTCAAKGGGCCACCAGTCTGTTCCTTGCAGCAGTGTAGACTGGCTCTGCTTCCTGGCACCATTGCTGGCTCTATTCTAGCGTCCCAGCAGATGTGTAAGCCCCTGGTTCTTTGTTTTCTCCATGGCTGGTGACTGAGCCTCTGCTTGGCCATTCTGTTCAGATCCTTGCAGGCTCCAGTTTGTCCTTTGAGATGTCTTGCTGTGGCTCTTGGGGTCAAGGGAGGGAGGCTGTGCCTCCTGTATGAGGGCCTGGGACCCCTGCTGGGCACTCTGGGTCAGTGGACATCCAGGTCCCCTCATACTCTGAGGTCTGTGAGGCTCTTGGTCCATGCTAGTTGTTTTCCCTTCATTTTTTTTTAATATTTATTTTTTAATTGTAGTTGGACATGTAACTTCATTTTATTTATTTAGTTTTATGTGGTGCTGAGGATTGAACCCAGGGCCTCGCATGTGCTGGGTGAGCGCTCTACCGCTGAGCCACAACACCAGCCCCTTCCCTTCATTAGTTGATCTTAAATTTCATCATCTTTTTTTTTCCATAGGTGTATTTTTAAATCATATTTTCTTTAGAAAATAGGCAAAATTATGAAATTACATGGAGAAAGTTGGATTTAAGTTTTAAGTTTTTCCTTGAAATACATATGGGTTAAGGCTTGTATTATCTATTAATTCAAGATTAATTCAACAGTTATAACAAACAACAAGCAAAACATATTAACAAAGACAAGGAAATAAATTGTATTAGGTAGATTGTATTAGATAATTATTTATTTCTATGGTATTCTTTTAGCTGAAATATCTAGATAAGAGTTTCATTTTTACTTTTGTTTCAGTTTTACTTTATAAAATGTTCATATAATAACTTTTCAAACATCTGAAAATATTCAAAAATAGCGAAGTTAGGAGAAATATATTTTTTTCATATGTGTATTTTTACATGTGTAAATATAGACCAATGAAATAATCTGTGCATTGAGGTAATTAAATTTCATCATCTTGATTCCCAGGACACTTAAAAACACTTGCAGCTGGGTGTGGTGGCCTATAATCCTAGCCACTGGGGAGGCTGACGCAGGAGGACTGAGGGTTCAAGGCCAGCCTCGTCAATTTAGCAAGACCCTGTCTTAATCGTATATCCGTATCTGTATCTGTATATCTAACTCACTTGGGTGCAGCTCAGTGGTAGAGCACTCGTGTCACCTGCATGGGGCCTGGGCTTGATCCCTAGCACCACACACATAAGAAGCCCCAGCTGGCAAGGGGAGGATGCACCTGGTGGGGAAGCAGTGTGGTGCTGTTGGCTTCACCGGTCGTGGCTTCTGGGGCACCCAGGGGACAGCTCAGCCCAGGCCCCTGCGGTCTGGCTGTGGGTGCTCAGGGTGTCAGACTTTGGGCCCCCTGTGGCAGGGAGCATGGTCTTCATTTTCCTTATTGCTGTTAAGACACATTGCATTCAGCACCTCAGGTGTTTTTAAGTATGCAGGCTCTTTGGGCCAGTGTCTGTGGTCTGACTGACTTTTCTTTTCTTTTTTTTTACCTTAACCTACAGCCAGAAAACCTGCAGAAGAACTGGCTTCGTGAATTTTACCAGGTAAGAGCTGCAGTGGGTGTTCCTTTGGAGTGAGCGCTCTGCGACGAGCTTTCTAGAGGGCTACAGCCTGTCTGCATGGAGTGCAGGCCGGGCTGCCCTGGCTGCCCTGGCTGCCCTGGCTTGGCCTAGTGGTGCTGAGCAGAATCCGCTTCCTGTCTGTTACCATTCCTTGGGCAGCCAGGCCCAGGTCCTCCTCAGGGGTCGCTGTTCGTATCTTGACTCCCGCCCAGCCTGGGATTCCTTCTTGCAGTGGGGGGTGAGCACTGTCACTTCTCAGAAGGGTCCTGCGGCTGTGGTGAGAGGCCTGGACAGCTGTGGGTCTGGCAGAGGTGTACAGGGTGGTGCTGTTAGCTGAGGTGTGGATCCCCCAGTTGACCACTGGCTGAAGGGTTATTGAACACCTGTGCTCTTAAGTTCTATCTCATGCCTGAAGATGCTTTGAAGAGACAAGCAGGGGCATCTAGCAGTGTGCATTCTAATAAAGGGGATGGGAGATGGACCTGACAAGGAGCCCTGGGGTCCTGTGTTTCGCCCTGGGTGGGCAGCAGGAGAACTTCCCCAAGGCAGGACCTAGGGAGAGAAGGGCCAGTAGCCAAGTGGGTGTTAGGGTAGGGAGGGTAGCAGTCGGCCCCATGTGGTGAGCACAGTGCTCTTCTGTCTGCTGTCTGTGGCAGGGTAAAACCTGGACGTGGGTTGACTCCCCAGTTTCTCTTAGGTGCAAATGGATGGAGTGGGACCCAGAAGGCCTGTGGAGGCAGAGGTGTAGGATAAAATGGGCCCCAGGACACCGGGTGTGAACAGCCAGTGGTTCCAGGAAAAGGGTGCTATAGATGGGGGACAGGTTGGCAGATCCAGGAAGACTCAGATATGAAGCGGGAGGTGTGTGTCAGAGGAGGTTTCAGGGTGGGCGCTGGGAATTCTTTAGTTAGGTAGGGTCTGTTGTCAGTGGGGCAGGTGAGATCTTGACCTTTCCTGCAGGATACTGGGTTCTGTGGCACGTGGGTGGAGGGGGATGTGCGCGGGCATTGTCTGATTTCTTGTGTTGGGGGTGGTCACTCTGGAGGGCACTGACCTGCCTCATTCTGCCTGTGCCGTCCCTGGAGGCTGATTCATGCCCTCAGGTGAGACAGGAGGCACAGATGCCTAGGGATTCTCAGGGCAGTGGGGAGCCAGCCAGCAGGTGGTGGTGCCAGTCTGTTGGCTGTGAATCAGGTCCAGGGCGAGACAGGACGATCCCCTTTGTCGGAAATCCAGAGAGGCAGGTGGGAGGCAGTGGGCCACAGTGAAGGGGAGGCTGTGTCGGTGTGGTGATCTGGGATGGAGGGACCCTGTGTGGCTGTTGGCACCTGAGTTGCAGAGAGAGCCTGCATCCTCTGGGTCTTTTCATCTGCCCACTGTACCATGACTGGGTACTGGTTAGGGGCCAGGACCCCCTATGCTGTCCTCTAGGTGTTCAGCTGGGTGGGAGATATGGCCTCCTTTTGTTGGTGGTAGGGAACAAGTCCCTCTTCAGGCGGGGACTTGGCTCTTCTGCAGCCTCAGGTCAGGGCCCCATGGTCCCCTGTGGAGCCTGGAGCCTGGAGGACCCCCAGCCACCTAGTCTTCACTAGAGCAGGCACTGGGTGGTACCTGGTCTGCTGATGAAAGTGGAGCGTGGAGGAGAAGAGAGCATGGACACCTGCAAGGCAGGGCCAGGGTCTGGGCTGTGGTCTTGGAAGTCTTCCTAGTAGGCCTGGGGGGAGGCAGGAAGCYGTCTTAGACACACACCGACAGCCTCATGGCCCATTCTGTGTGTCACTGACTCGTCTGTTCTGGGTGTAAGCCTCCCCGCCCTCGGTGCTGCTCCAAGGACCCTGATGGTTCACGAGGCTTCTCCTGCTGCTCTGTTGCTGGCTGTGCCCTTGTACACATCTTGGTGTCTAAGTTGTCAGGCCAGGAACCTGTGCCCCACCAGAATGGGAGGGAGATGGGAATGAGTGGAGAGCCTACCTCTGCATTGAGGATGAAGGGCTCATCTTTGGGAACAAGGGAGTGTGGGAGCTGGAGTAMCCATGGCAGTGTGTCTGTGCAAGTGCAGCATTACCCAGCAGCCCACAGTGAAGTTGAGAGTTGTCACCTCAGTCCACTTGTTCACTCAGACCTCACAACTGGGCACATCTCGGAGGTGCCATGATCATCATTATTCCCTGGCCCTTGGAGTGCCTCTCCCCCTTCCTGGAGAGGCTGAGACCTGGAGGGTTAGAAGAGCCCTTCCGCCTTGCTGGTGCAGGAGAGGTGGGAAGACAGGTTGACTTTCTCACTGATTGTGCTCTCAGGAGCAGGGCCCTGTCTGCCTTGCTCAGGACTGTGTCCAGGATTCTGATGGTTTGCACATGGTGTGTGCTCAGCAGTTGTCTGTTGAGAGCCTTCTGAATAAGTTAAGCAAAGCAGAAAAGTGTCARCTCAGTTTTCTCTGCTTGCCCCTTCCAACTCGTTCTCTCTACATCTGGCTGTACCTCCCATAGGTGGGTCAGAGATATGTGTGTTTTCATAGCTCCTTCTCTCTTGTCCATGCAGTGTCCCCATTTTTAGTAAATTGGAGATGTCTTTCTATGTAAACAATATCCACTCTATTCACAAATCCTTTTTCTTTATGTATATTTTGGTCGCATTTTTTATTTTTGTCCTTGTATCCTTTGGTATATAGCCATCCTAGTCATATCAACTTGTTGAGGTGGTAATGAGTCCTCCCCTTTTAGCAGTTCAGATAGCCATCCTGATGATTAGCAGTGCTTGGTAAGGTCCTTTCCAGCTCAGTTGAAGTTTATCTTCTTTCCAGGTCTTGATTAAAATCAAGTTGCTAGGCTGGGAGTGATGAATTGCAAACTCTGAGCAGCAGCTTATAATAATTATTCCAGAAAAAAAAAACACAGATAAGTCTCAGATTGACTCAGAACAAACTTGTGATGCTGACAGAGCCTTTTACGATATTTATCAGGCACTCCTGTGTAAAAACCCTTCCTGTATAACCCCCAGCTTTACTTACTTTTGGGAGAACTAACACRATGTACCTCTCAAGTGAAAGAAGCATTTTCTTATTTTTTAAAGGTCCATGTATGACTGTTTTGATTATACTCCCTTGCCTGGTGTTGAAGACCAGTGTGGTCAAATTGATCTTCTTCCTATCTGCTGTTGGAGTCAACTGAGATTTGTCAGGGATCACTTTTGGGAACTTGTGTGGCGCATACCCCAAGGAGGGACCTCCTCTCCTCCCTTCTCAGTCAGCTCCCCACAGGCCTTGCAGATCTGCCTTGCCTGGATCCAGCAGAATAACCCTGGCCTCCCTTGTTCACCTGCCAGCTGTTGGCAGCTCCCAGGTGTTGCTCTTGGCAGGTCCTCCTACACCCCTCTGTTGCTGTGGCATGGTATGCAGAATGCTCTTGCATTCTGTCCTTGGGTCTGGACTGGGTCTGGCCCAGCCTGGGCATTGTGTTCAACCTTCTGTGGACATGTCATGCTCTTCTTGGACCCACTCCCAGGAGAGGTGTGCTGAAAGCAGGAAGATACTTCAGGGCCAGGGTGCTGTGCCGAGCCAGCTGGTGCATCCCCAGCCCCACTCTGCTCCTTGAGGCAGGGCAGTGCCTGAGACCACCTGGGTAGCTCACTCTCACTATAGGGTACAGATGTTGGTAGTCTTTACTGCTCTYGTGGTAGCAGGGGGTGGGGCTTGGGAGCCATGTGGCATAGTGGAGGAGATCTGAGAGTGGCCTGGGCTGGGATTAGTGCCCCTGTAAGAGCCTCCTGAGAACACAGTGCAAGGCCTGTCTGCAAGATAGGAATGGCCTCATCCGTACCAAATGGTCTGGCACTTTGCCTGGACTTCCAGTTTCAGAACTGTAGGAGATAAGTCTTCGTGTGAGTGTCTGTGTTACCTGGCAGTGGCAGCCCTTGCTCCCCAAGGGTCAGGGAGGCTAAAGCTGAGAGCTGTTGCTGGCCCCAAACCTGTACTAAGAGGATGAACTCTGGCTGGCCACCAGGGGATCTTGGAGCCTGCCTTTCTGTGTGGGTGAACCCAGGGGTCAATGAAGTTGAGGGTTCTGGGCACAGTGCCCTGAAGACTGCAACTGTCCCTGTGAACAATGCGCTGAGCACCATGTCTCCTATGGAAGTGGGGTTCCCCAGCCAGTGCTCCTGTGTCCTGGTTTCTCCGTCCCAAGCTGTCAATGTAAGTCTGGCCGTAATTGTGGGATGGATGAGTGAATGAAGCTGTAAGGGAAGCGTCTCCCAGGAATATCAGTGTGAAGGCAGGAGTTCCAGGCAGATTGAAGCTGGGGTCAGGGTGACGGGAGCATATTGAGAGAGGGTGGGACTCAGGCGGGGTGCCCTGGGACGAGTTCCTATAACCATGCCAGGTACTGGTAGTTCACGGTGAGTAGCACACTCAGGTCTATGAGGCCTTGGGCAGGAGTGGAAAGCAGGTTCAGAGGGGCTGGGGGGCTGTGGAGAGTGGGGAGTGCCGAGGTGGTGAGAACTGTCACTTGTAAATTTGGAGACGCAATGCTGATACCTCTGTAACTCAGTTGCCACTGTTGAGTGTGCATATAATGTGTGGTTCTGATTAGGAATCCTAATTGTGTACTTGGTAAAGAGAAAGGCAGTTAGCCTCAAGTGTGGGTGAATACTTTTCTAGAAATTAATGTCCTAAAAGGAAAAAGAAGGAATGAATCTCCAACAGAAAACTCTGAAAGCAGATCTCCTGCCAACGATATCTTAGCATCCTTGAAGACAGTGTGATCCTGCCTGATGGTGCTTTGTTTCTTTTGTAAACAAAATCTGTTGGCACACACAGACTGAGCGCAGGCCCTTCCTTGCCCACCTATAGGAGGCAGCACAGCTGAGAGCCCATTACAGGCTCTGAACCTGCAGGGACTACTCAAGTCCTCACACCCTTACTCGCTGTGTGACATGGGCAAGCTGCCTGCCCTCTCTGCCTCTGTGTCCCGATGGCTGGCAGTGTGGCC